CTGACGGATAGTAGAATGTATCAATTCCCCTGGTGTTGCAGTTGTTCATGGGCGGTAGTCACTTACCCTCAGGTGAGCCGTATGCTCGTTTGTCCCCTCTCGTATAAATAAAAAACTTAATTATGTCCAAAAACAAAATATCTAAAATGGGTATATTTTTTTTTAATATTCTACTAAGCCAGCGCTTATCTACGATCTCACCTGATGGTAAGTGGTGATGTAGCCTAAGATGAAGCGCACTGACTTAACAAAAGGCTATTCACTCTTGCCTTGAAAACACCCACACTGTAATCGGATGGAAAGACAGATGCTGGCAATTTATTCCACTCCTTTTCTGTACGCATGATGAACGACGTGGCGAACCGTTTGGTTCGAATGCGTGGTAAGGCAACAACGAAAGGGTGGCGACTGGCCTAACGTCTGGTTGTCCGATGGTGGAAGGGAGAGGCAATAATTAAATTATGCAATTCCTGCGTACACTCTCCGAAATGCGTCCTGTACAAAACCGAAAGGCTGGCTACTTTACGTCTGTGTTCGATCCTGGTAAGATTGGTTTTAACCATATTCGGGTCATCAATAAGCCTCTTAGCACGCCTTTCCATTGAGTCCAAAGCTGCTAGGTGGCATTTTGCAGCACCTGCCTATAATTTACTTAAAATACTATACGTAACTTACAGTAGTGGTTTACATGAACAACAACACATATTTTATTAAGAGAGGTTAATGTTAGCCTCCGAGTTATTAAAAAGCGATTAAATGAGATAACCCGCGCTTACCGAAAACAATCACTCGCGTTATGTAAGCATTTTATATAAAAGTTAAGGTCGCCGTAAACAACAGATAGGTTAAAGGTCGAATTGTGAAAGAGAACGCTCAATTATATGAGGCACGTAGTTGACGAGAGTCAATTAACCCGAGGCTAAGACACTATATAGTACAGGTCTTAACATGACCCTTGGTGCACCCCTCATTGTTATCTGTATAAAGATTAGGTTTTGTATCAATATACTTTGGGCTTTGTTTTCTTGAGGACTCGAGAATTTTTTACCTTGCCATTTTAATAAAAAAATCTGTTGGCCACAGGTAACCAATTGGGCAATTTGGCCAAACTGTATCTTCATTTTATCGACAGTAGCAAAAACATATCAGCACTAACTGCTGTCTTTGATTACAACCACCACCTCCACTTTCCAAGCAGGTCGATTATACAATGAGATAAGATAATTTCCAGCAGTGAACTGCTATAGGTTTTGCTATAGCGTTTTTCTACATAACCATGTAGCATTGAAAGTTTTGAAAATAAAAATAATCTACACACAAACACACACACACACACACTTGCCAAGTGTAAGAACAAGTACCAAAAATACATTATGCTGTTTTATTTATTTTCAAATAATAAACATAGCCTATAAAAGAATTTTACAGATTTTATATTTTAAAATACGTGAGAAAATAGTTTGGAAAATCCAAAAATGCACGCCTCGTGAGCGTTTCATTTAATTTCGATGAAAAAAAAAGTGACGATAATTTTTACAAGAAAAAAAAAGCAGAGAATCTGATCGACTTTCATAAATTACTTTTAAACGGGTTCAATAACAAAAATCAATAGGGATCTTCCTTAGACTATATGGAATCTTACTTAATACTATATGTATATCTCAATCTATTGTTTCCCTCACCGACGCACATACTAACGGACGGCAGTACATATATTTTTTACAGTTTTTGTTACGTAGTCTAAAGTGAATCAATTAAAAAATAAATTAATCTCTGTAAATTAATGTCTGTAGTTATTGCAACGTTAATAATAATATAGATCTGATGGCTAGCTAAAAATATAAGATTATATCTTTACAAATAAATAAAATTGAAGTGTCTGTTTGTAATGTTATAAATATAATTTATGTAGTGAAATTGAGGTATGGCCTCATATCGAGAATATAGCACTCCCTGACGTTGTGAGGCGTGCAATAAGGGGAAGGGGCGAGGGGAATATTTTTGACTCTAGCGGCCCCGAGCGGCAATAACCCATGCTGGAACTGATTGACTTGTCTGTGTACTAGAAACGTTGTTGATGATATATGAGTGAGAATCCAAGATCTTTTACTAAATAGTTATAACTCTATTAACAAAAACAACCCATCTTTACTAAATTATTTATTTATTTATTTACACACACACATACTTAACAACTATCCTTACTGGCTAAACAAACCCAATACGATAGTGTCACTAATCTCCTTAAATATACTATGTATTACAACTAACTTACATAACTAACTATCTATAAAAGTACCTTAGCGAGTTCACTCAGATTACTCGAAAATATATCAATCCTCTCGTGAACTTTATTCACTATTAGGATTGTTCGGACTATAGGTGAGTTACTAAGCAAATTGGTCCTGGCCATGGGCACCGCAAGCAGCGGCGGGCGGCGTCGCCTCCACACGTACCGGTCCGGTGCGCTAAGCTGCAGGTGGCGCAGCACCCCCGGGTTGCGCAATAAATAAATTTAGATATATTATAGATTGTACTTATATATTGTACAACTAGTGCGTGTTGCCAGTGATGACTTATGGATCTGAGAAGTATTCCTTCACTGCTGGCCATATGAGGATGCTCAAGGTCGCTCAGCGAGCTATGGACAGGGCTATGCTTGGGGTTTCTCTGTGTGATAAACTTAGAAATAAGGATGTCCGCAGTAGAACCAGAGTAACCGACATAGTCCAACGGATTAGTAAGCTGAAGTGGCAATAGGCCGGCCATATAGCTCGAAGAACCGACAACCGATGGGGAAAAAGGTTCTCGAGTGGCCGGCGGACGAAGTGTTGGGTGACCCCCCAATAGATGGAGTGACGACCTGGTAAGACATGCAGGAAGTCGATGGATGCCGATGGCTCAGACCGTGCTTTGTGGCACTCCTTGGGGGAGGCCTATGTACAGCAGTGGACTTATAAAGGGCAGTAATAATGATGATCATGAGATATATTAAAAACGATAACGTAATGCAACAGACAGATTAATTTGCAGTCAGTGACAGTATTCAAGACGATCGCCGCTATTAAATCACATTTAATAGACCACAAATCCTCGTTAAAGAACACCGATTCTACCTAATGTGATTCGCGAGGCTATAAAATTACACACACAAAACACACAAACACTCACGCCTGTCACACAGAGGGCTAGGCAGAGACTACGGACTTCATTTGACGCGATCCTGACACACCTCTCTCGCCTCCATACACGCTCGTCTGTTAAGGGTAATTGATTAAAAAAATATTTTCTATTTTCAATAGAGAAAGATGTAGGATGCTATCATTTGCTTCGTATTCTGTATAATTAATAAAATTAAATCCAAACCTAAGCTTGCCATTGCAGGACTTCTAGATTCATCAATTCATACAGCATTCATTCATCATAGTAAGCTTCAAAATTCTGTGTCTATAACATCAAAACGTCAAACACTTCATTACATGCCATGATCATGATGACGAATGCCACTCGAAACGCCACTAATCTATGCAAATTCTGTTTGTAATGTCAAAATAATGACTTTTTACTAAATGCATATGGAAAGTATATGCGTTACCTATAACAAAAACACATCTTTTTTTTAAAATCCTGTCTGTCTGTTTGTTTGTTCCGGCTAATCTCCGAAATGGCTGGACGGATTTTGGCGGGACTTTCAGTGGCAGATAGCTGATATTATGGGAAGTAACATACACTACTTTTATTTTAGTAAAAGAATTGGGGTTTCGCGCAAAATAAATTAAAACCCTAAATTACACGCGGACGAAGTCGCGGGGAACAGCTAGTTACAAATAACTTAAAAGTAAACAGTAATAATTCCGTAAAATTTTTTCTATACAAAAGACTCGTAACAAAAACGGCATACTAAAGCATCTATTTAAAACAACAAACATGTTTATTAAATGCCACAACAAGTGACCTTAAAAGAATCTAGTAGCGACGAGGATTGGATAAATAAATTCAATCATGTATGTACTTCCCTAAAGAAGCTCTTTATGCAGTCGTGTAAACATCAAGATAAGATATAACAATGGTTCATGAAAAAGGTCCCAAAATTTTCCTGTCATCGTTGCATAAATCCTTGCGTCAAGAGTTACTAGGTCAAACAATCAGTCAGGTAACGATTGATAATAAAATTCGTATGCAAGTCGCCGCGGAAGCGCTTACGTGTTTAGAATGTTCAATGTTTTAAAATAACATCTGATGTAACTCAGTGCTTTCGGATTAAAGTTTACGATATAACAATAATTTTAACGATAGTACTTTGACTAATTGTAAAATGAAAGACACACACATACGCAACACACATACACATGGAATAGCAAATTCTTCTAACACATGTATGTTTATAGCTAAAAGGACCTCCCATACACAGTTAAACTGTATGATTGTTTTATTATATTTATTGTATATATATATATATATAAAAATTACTTCTTACATTGTTTGTCCGCGATGAACTCCTAAACTACTGAACTTATTATATTTTTTTATTGCGAAAAGGGCAGAACAACGTCTGCCTGGCCAGCTAGTATATATATATATATATATATATATATATATATATATATATATATATATATATGTGTGTGTGTGTGTGTGTGTGTATGGGTATGTGTGTAAAATATGTATACACTACCATATTCATATCACATAATCGTTTTGTATAATATGTGTAAATAAGTTAATTTTTCTTGCGGCTCCAGCTCTGACCACACTACCAAAGTACCAAAGGTTAGCTGGCAGAGAATACCTTTTCGGCATTAAGTTCGCCTTTTGCACTAAAGAATTTTCTGTCTATCTATTAAAAAACGTTATATCCCAGTGTAAGTCATTAGGCTAAAACATAAATAGAAACCAATAACGTTTTCCCTTTCTTCAGTAGAATTTAACTATTGTTCTGCTCAGTTTTCGAGAGTATCTAATTTAAATACTTTGCTTATATTTTTATTTTCTGATTTCAGTAAGCACGGGCTATGAATCCGATCGAGAGGAGTGGAGAAGCAGTCGTTCGCAGTTCTCCACCACCGCTTTCGATAGTCTGACTCGTCCCACAAAAATGGCAATGGCGTTGACACTCAGAAAACCGCAAAGAGTAGACCCTGCACCGCAGTATTATCGCCTAACTAGCGAGCCCAAACCGCCACCGTTTAGACCGAACAACTTCTTGCACAGAGCACCAAGGCTGCCACGACCAAGTACGGAAATAAAGAGGAATCTAAGTACGGAACATCGGAAATACGCTTCTTTACAAAGCCTAGAAATTCCGATAAAGCTGAGCGAACCTAAGAGACAGAGCGATCCCAAAAAGACGAATTACTCGAACATTTCCAATAGGATCACTGGACTGACAAATAAGTTAAGGGATTTGGGGGCAACGACCAATACGATCGGAAGATTTAAGGCTCAGTCCCATGGTGATGTGACAAACCTGAAGCCAGTATTAAAGACCAACGGTCAAGATGGAGCGAAACGCTCCGTCGTCAGAACCTGCAGTGCTGAACCGCCAAAGAAAGTAACTTTCAGCGCTTTCGCCACAGTACAAGTGGTATAAACGTTTTTATGCCTAATTTATTCTACGATATTTAATGACTTGTATTATTTTTGAAATTAAGTAATCTTGTACGTTAGTTTTGTTAATTTTAATTGACGCTTATTGTAATTGGGTATCAACACAATTTTAGATAAATAGTGTAATATAGTCGTTAATCGATTAAAGAACGATTATCGATTTTACATTAGATATATAGTTTGAATAGATTTAAATTCATAAGAGTGAAAATGGGCCGGGATTTTTGTGTAAATAATAATGATTAAATGATGATCTTACTAGTTTATTTAAAACATTATTATTTTAAATTCTTTAACTTTACGCAATTTTAAGTATTAATTCTCCTTCCGTTCTTTATTAAAATGAATTTTTGCTTATTATAAAACTATTTCGTAGACAGCTTTCTTATTTTTTTTTAGTCACTTGCACATTTCATATTTATTAATTTCCGTAGCGACTATCCAAATATTTTAATCATATTGGAAAAGTCGTTTAAATTTCTTCGCACTTCAGCCAGGCAACACTTTCTGCATTTTTCTGCACGCACAACATTTTATTTTATTATTTTCGTTTATTATTAAAATGTGAGCAGTTCGTTTGAAAATCGAATTAATTAGTCTAAGTATGTAGTTATTCGACAAAATTTAGCAATTCTTTTTATAAAACAACAATATAAATTATTTATCGGCATTATATGTCACTTTTAAAAAGAAAACCCCGTTATAAAATTCTGAACTTAAAATTGAAATAAGTAAACCTATCCGCTTTGGCTTCTGACACGCCAAAAGCATGGAATGCATTTAAAAAAATTTAAACATATTTTTAAATTTGAAACATTGTTCGGTATTCGATTTTTAGTGAACTGCTGAAAATTTCTGTTAATTTGATTCTGATCTGACAGTCGAGAATTTCTGCTTGTGCCAGTCTGATGCGACGCCTGCAATGTCACAAAATATATTTGAAATGCCACCAATCTTTGAAAGATTGCTGTCGGTCAGTTTCAGGTGATGATAGAAATTAAAAAAAGAATACATTGTTATTTATTTATTCAATATGAATATTTATCATAAACAATAACAACACAAACTATCAAATATACAGATAAAATATTTTTGACATATTCTATGCTATTTATTTAGTTTATTTGGAGAAATATATCTTCAACAAAATATTACAATCCCTTTTGTTTCCAAACGCTTTCTAATATTCACGTTATTTCTAGTCGCCAAATTATATATATAAGTTATTTTCACATAACAGCTTCTGAAGTGGGGTCTTCAATTCTTCTCGACACTGTTACGTGGAATAATTTTATTCTATTCCGTTCTTTGAACTCTGCTTTTATATATTATTTAAAGTTCAATTTTAATGTGACAGTTTTTGTTATATTATATTATATATAACAAGAATTCAAAATATACACGCGAAACTTTGCCATGTGTATATAATATAAGATAGGAAAAATATTAATAAAAGCAAAGAAATTACCTCTTACTGTGTTAAAAAATGACACATTCTCATAACGTTTTATTCATACTGGTATTACTGGTATTGCCATAAAATATAGCCCGTGACACTTTGGATGTAAAGGCGATACTAACAATTGTTAAGACTATAGGAAATTACAATGAAACAGAACTACATGCACACAAATCCGAAAATCAGGAGGAAGGAAAAGAGATAGACGCATTAAAAATAAATCCTTTAAATTCTTCACGGTAAAATGTGGTGGCAAAACTCATATTTTCAAATAATATATATATTTCTAAAATTAATATAGATTTATGTGTGTTACATTGTGTAATTAATGAAACAGTAAGTGTTATATATGTATTTAAAAAAGTAATAAGCTCATAAGGAAAAGTCATAATTATTGTCATCTTACATAACATAGGCAACTTAAATAATAGATAAGTATTATAATTTTAAAATATTACTTTAACTCTAAGAAATTATAAAATATCGTTTGTAATTACATATAATTTAATGAAGGTTTTAATATTATTATTTTTTTTTGCTTTATTTTGTTGTTAATTGTTTATTCCCGACTTAAATCTGTTTGGAAATTAATAAAAAGTTTGTTAATCTATTTTCATTTTTACTAAACTAATACGAATGAATGTTTTTATGTGTAGATTTGAATATGTAAGAATATCCTGGAAAAGAGGCATTCCCTCTTAGTCCTCACGGTCGACAACGCATCTGCATTTTGATTCTTTATTGAGGATATATGTAGATGTCTATGGGTCACAGCAACCACTAACCATCAGGTGAACTGTGTGCTTGTTTGTCACCCTATCCTATAAAAAAGGTGACAGAGGGAAACACACCAGGAGAACAGGCAACAGCGTCTTCCTGATAACAGCTGGAAAATAAAAACCTTCGGTTGTTTACCCGTCTGCCAAGCTTGCCAACCATAGCAAGTTACCCTCTTGTTAGGTTATCTACGGAAGAGGCCTATGTACATGACACTTTAAAAGGCTCTGATGATGATGATGATGATAGACTAATGACCATACATTTACTTATAGATCATTTTAAATTTTTCTCATGATTAATTCAATTAGTGAATCAATTGATAAACGTACATCGTTCCCAGGTAGATTTAAATACAAGACGAAACTAAAGTCTAAAAACAGTCCTAAACCTAAGCCACGTGTACTCATGGCTTTATAAATACCTTAGTGATTTTCTATATTTTTTACATCTGAAAAATAACGTTATAAATAATCTTAAAATGTATTACACAACTTTTGAAATGAGAATAAAGATGGTCTAATAATGAGGGCATCCACAACTTTTTCTACCACCAGGGCGGCGCCACTTAAAAGTGAAGTATAATATTTGACAGATTTCACAACGGGGAAGTTATTTTTTTTTTCGGAAAATGTAAAGGTTAATATTTCTTTCTGTACTATTAACTATATTTTATATTAATAAGATTAAAAATACATAAACTAATTCACAAATATTTCTAAAAGTAGATAAATTAAAAAAAGTTTAAAATGTGCAAAAAATGAAAGAGCGAACCAGGCATGAGGCTTTGTTTTATGTATTAATATAATACTCTAGAAACTGATAAACTAACTTCTCAACTAAATGACATTATGTAACAAAAAACTTTATCATAGTGTCAACTAGCGACATCTAGTGAGCAAAAAATTATTAGCCCTCATTGCCTGTATTGTGGAGGATAGATAGCGCTAGCCCATATTATCCGGTGGGTATCGTGAGAGGTGACAGAGGAAAATGAAATAGAGATGGGCAGCAGCATCTTAATGATAACCACTCAAAATAATAATAAACCGCATTTGCCAACCCGTGCCTAACGTGGCGTCTATGTGAAATATTCCCGCTGGAATCTGGAAGTTTGTCCTTGTGAAACTTACGTATACCTCCACTATACAAGTGAAAACCCTAATGAGGAGTAACATAAAAAAAAATCTATAAAGCGTATATCAGAGACGTGTCGTCTACACCGTAAGAAAATCTATCACACATTTAGTCCTTTGGGTATCTTAAGAGACAACAATGAAATGTATAATTTAAAATTAAAAATTTCATACAACCGACTTCAATACAAATTATTAAGAATAACTCAAAAACGATTGGTCAGACCTTGATCAAATTTATATGGGACCACATGTGAAGTACTAGCTTTCAAATAAAAAAGAATCATCGAAATCGGTTCACCCATTAAAAAGTTATGAGGTAACACACATAAAAAAACATACAGTCGAATTGAGTACCGGCTCCTTTTGAAGTCGGTAGAAAACAGATCGCATGGCTTCTAGTAGATAGCTAATACTCAAAGATGCTAGCTCAAGCATTATGTTTACGGCAAGTCCTCCCTACAACGAGATTGGCCCATTACCACCTATTACGTTTACTCTTTATAAACTAATTATGATTTAACACCAAACAGACTGTAAGTAATGATTCAAGTTTTAAATTAAGGTTTTTTTTATAGGATATTACATTATATATTATAGGATAATGGTAACAAATGAGAACACAGTCCACCTGACGATAAGTGGTTGCTGTGGCCCATAGACATTTACATTTATCCTCGATTAGGAATCAAAATGCAGATGCGTTGTCAGTGTTCCGTGAGGATTAAGATGGAATGCCTCCTTTCCAGTAAATAGGGTCTCCGCTCTACATTCACCATACTAAACACATTAGCGTTAAGCTGCTATATTACGCTGGTATTCTGTGAGAGCGTGTCCTTCCCCGGTCGAGCCAACCCATTCGTGATACAACTACATCAGTAATATAGCTGCAGCATGGCTCTACCACAACCCCGTTCTGAGCAGGATTTTTTTAATGATAACTGAAATGATTACACTGCCATCTATCGGCAGCTACAAGATTTTCTTAGCATTTCTAATATAATGCTCTTTAATGAGGGCTAATAATTTTCCGCTCATCAGATGTCGCTAGTTGACGCTGAGGTAAAGTATTTTTGTTACACAATGTCATTGAGAAGTTAGTTTATCAGTTAAATACTACCCCCTCACCTCATTTTAAATGGCACCGCCCTGGTGGTAGAAAAAGTCATGGATGCCCTCATTAAAAATGACTTGCAATAAATATAATTATTTATACAAGCTGGCCCCGCAGAAGCCCTTTCCCCTACGAGGCGGGATAATTTCATTTCGAATTCACTCTGGATATTTGGCAGCGTATATCAATTTAATCTATTGAAAGCCATATTTCTCGGGCTTTTGCCATTGTCGTCTCTTACGACACTCGCAGGATGATATGGGATAGTGGATTCTCATACGCCGCCACTGCAAGGCACAAATTTATTCTATTCTATTTTCCTATGCGTTAATATTATATTATACAAAATACATCGATATATATGTACTACGCACTAGATTTCGCATTCCGAACATTGACTATGTTCAACTGAACTGTACTGCAATACGTACATCTTAGTGTCAGTGCAGTGTGGAGAGGCGCAAATAATACGAGATTTCAAATTAAAGTTTAAACCT